TATGCATCCTTTCTTCCAGAGGTGGTTTTTTTTGAAGTGTTAAGCGCCAGAGTGCCAGTAAAAGAAAGATGCTACTTAGATAGCTGTTTGTAAGGAATGGTATTCTGTGCAGCTTTGCTAGCAGTGCCCTATTGCTAACATGATCTATAAAAGAGAAAACACCTCTTCAATTCTGATTGGCTGAAAAAATGAGCCAATGAGAGAGGGATCGGACGTGAAATTTAACATCAGTCTATAGCAAATGCACAGTTATCTAGAATTTCGAGTACTGACCCTTCGCGCACTTTGCCCATCTCTGAAATTGAGAATACCCCTTTTCCTGATTTTTAAATGCTGTATAATCTATTGAACTACCAATGTCCGTCTCTATGATTTTTCAATTTTTTTCCAAGTTGACGAGTCTTAATGAGAGCTTTTTCCATCGGAATCCCCAGAACGAAAACAACACTTTGATAAAAAATGTTCGTACATTCTCTCTATAGCTAAGGTATCAATCACGGTGGAGCAGTATAGAGTTCGGTGGTTTCTGTGCGAGTTTCGGAAAATTGGATAAAACCGATTGGAATCAACTGAAACCGTACAATTATGAAATATATCAAAGTTTTTTGAAAGTTTTTGATTTTTCAATTCTTAAGATTCGAAGAGCTGAGTGTTTAGTTATAAGACATTTTGTTCAAAGCATACAAGGATAAGTAAAAGAGTAAGAAATTTTTTTGAAAATAACATGCTCGAGACCTACTTACTTAAACACAAACAACTTCTTGAATAATACTGGTTTCATTATTATTTTTGTGTTCTTTACTATCATTATCACCACAAACAACGATACTATCTCTGGTTCAGTCATTTTACTTTTCTTTAGTGCCGCTGACATAATCTATTAGTGGTCTTAGAATGATCTCGAATAAGAGAATGATGATGGTTCCACTGCTTTTCTTTGAAAAAAATGTTAAATACAAATAGAATTTTAACAGTTTAGTATTGTTTTGTCATATAGTGCGGTAACTGTGATCCCTACTAAATGCCAGTACATGCCTTTCTACGTTTTGGATAATACATCAAAACATGCATAATTTCACGCTCTATCAGAATATGCAACTTTTGTCGTATCATCTTACTTCAATAGTTGAAATCATTTTGAAAAAGGCAAAGAAAAAGAAACAAAAAGTCCAGTTCGATGAAATCTGATGATAAAGATATATTTTGTCTGCTTATAATTTTTTCCACGAATAAATGCAATCCTAAATATTTATATATAGAGTTGTAGAGAATTTCTTGGGCTATCAGAATATTCAACTACTTTTCTAAAAACGACAAATTATAGTAATAATATATTAAAAATATCGAGTGCAATCATTTTTTTCTCGGCACAGATTTTTCATAAAATTGCAGAATATTGTTGAAATTGTTTTCTATACTACAATTCAATATCACAAAGTTTTGAAGACGGAATTCCACGTATTTTAATGTGCTCTTTCAAATGAGACTATTGTGAACTTACTCTATTGCGCTGATCCGACTAAGTTACCGAATCTAGGTGTGGGCTTTTTCCGAAAATCACATGTGATGCCAAGCAGCAAATATTTAGCAATGAGGTGCCTTTATTAGCAGGGAGAGGTAGCCCATCATCGATAGTATTTATGGCAAAAAACTCCCTGTTATAACTCTTATCGTTGCTTAGAAAATGGAAATTTACTAAAACATTTTGCATTGAAAAGTACTCCAAATATACCGTACCCCATGACACTTGCAGCGTCTATATCTGCAGAACGGCTAAGCCGTTTGAGCTGAAATTTTCAGGTTTTTGCTAAGTCTTTTAGGCCTACCTAATGTAAAAATATAATTCAAATTGGTGCCAGTCAATGCGCAACGTTCTGCAGAAAGTGGTCATGGCTTAAGTGCAATGCCTCCTAGGGGGGTAGGGTGATCTTCTTAAAAAAGGGAGTAGCTGAAAACGCCTGGAGGGGGGTACGGAAATTTGGGTGTGGGTCTGGGTCTGGCTGTGGGTGTTGGTATACAAAGTACGCACCCACACCCACACTATAAACCTACATGCGTCCAGCTTCTAGACAATCCATATTTTGGGAGATCTGAGTCTCTCAAAGTCGTGGTTTTGACCAAAATCACGATTTTGTGGCGGGTCTCCACAGCGATGGAAATACTTTATGGAGCTGATTTTTTTTAGCAGACTAAGTACTCAATAGAATCTCTCTATAGCCAAGGTTTCAACCCTCTGGCACGATCCATTCATGAGATACGTAAGTGCACAAAATACCAAAAAATAGCCATTTTGCCGTGTACCTGGTGATATTGGGCAATTCACCAATATTAAACCTAGTTAAGCTCGTTTTTTCCCTGGAAATACAAAATCATGATATCTATTTACAGTAAAAATTTCAATTAAATTGCATATACCCTTGATGATATATTGATGTCACAAAACAATCACCAAAAATGACCGTTTTTGACGATAGTGCCCTCAGAAAAGTGCACATATCTCAACAACGGAACAATATTTTTTCAAACGGCTTGCGTCACAATTCTTAGAACTCTTACCTCTAAAACATATATTAAATTGAACAAAATCGGACGACCTCGATTGAGCATGTTAGGTCGTGGCTTACATGGACTGGCTCATATCCATTTGCCTCGGAATGGATAGGAATGGTTGGGAATGGCCAAGAATGGTTGGGAATAGCTAGGAATGACTGGGAATGCCCGAATGAGCTTTTCCCCCATTGATGAGATACTTTCATCGTTTTTTTGGAAATTACGGATGAACTCAAAGATTTTATTCTACGCTCAAAAGATAAAACAGTTTACACTTTGCAGAACTCGATGTCATCTTTTAAATAAGTTTTTCTTTTGAATGAAAAGCTGAAAACGACTAAAAAATATTGAATCTTTGCTGTGATCTCCGATACTTCCTGTGAACAGCGATCGATTTGTGTAAGATTATGATTCATCAAGTTGTGCTCTGATTCGAAACTATTAGTCATGCATAAATAGAGATATTTGAGCTCTACACTCCTGGCTTTTCTGCAAGGCTCACAATGCTGTCATTTAGTATTGAAAGGCTTCAAAATATGATCTGGTCGTGGTTTTTACATGTACTCTTGAAAGTGTTGATTTCAACTGTGGGCGCGCATTATGAAAGGTTTAGTAAGATAACACCCTATACAGAATATAAATTTGAAGATAGCGATATAAAGTTTCAAGTGCCCAAAGAAAATAGTTGATTTCCTTCAAAACACGGATAAACATTGTCAAAGAACTGCTACATAAATGTGTGTTACCAAGTTTTCTTTAATTATTTACGGAAGCCTCTTTCAAAAATTTCTTTCGTAAAGTTATTAAGATATGTCACCAAACTGAAAGTTTTGGACAGAATCTCGTGGTGTATTCTAAATTTCCATCGATTTTTCGTGCCAGAATCCTTTAGCAGTTTTCGGTTTTGAAATTCCGACATTCGAACAAGTTCGTACCAGACGATGTCTTTGACAAGAATCATTTATTTAAAAAACGAAGTCTTTAATTTTAAACATTGGAAAATTTGTGTATTATGGACTGAGAATGGTAATTTTGGAATGTGCTTCTGGTTTTCAAGAGATAAGCGTGAAAGTGTTCCATTCTCTACAAACCAGCTGTTGAAATAGATTATGTTGTATTACTAACATAAGAAATCTTTTTTATAATATGCAAATCTTTATCAAAAGTACAAAACAGTATTGACAGGATTTCAGAGTACCGGTTATCATCAGAGACCATGAGAAATGACTAAAACTCGAAGAATCGAAAAGATGCTGCAGAAATCAGTAATAAAGTGGTTTTTCCTTTTGCTATCCTATTCATCCGTCACTAAAATTTAAATAGATTATTACGCAAATACGTTCTCAATATCAGCATTTTCCTTATAAAATTTTTACACCGGGAAATTTTCGGGAATTTAATTCTACTCACCTCCACTCTCTGTCCTATTTCGGATTCTGATCCGTACCCATAATCATAAATTGAAACCTTAATACGTTATATCGAGTATGTGTGAAGAATGAAAGACATCTATTTTAAATTCAGTCATGTGTTATATTGATTTTTGAGTAGATGTCAATGGTTCAGGAAGAAGCGCTGTCTACTATCATTAGAGTGTACCAATATTATGATGTCGATAACAGCCTGTGAGTGAAAGGGCAAGACAAGAATGGCTAAAACGTCTGCTTTTATATTTCAGTGCTTCTTGTGGATCATGTTTCACAAAAGTACTAATATACCGATGAGAATGAGCAGCATCAGAGAAAAAAAGCATAGAGCCAATATTCGGAAGGGATATTTTGAGAGATGGTTTGATTGTATTTCATGCTAAGCCAATCTGAGTTCATTTCGTAAGCTAAAAGATTGCTTTTAACAAGCTGAATTTTTCATAGAGACTTCTATGAACACCATCGGAAAACACCAAGTTAATTGGCAAATTTTAGCGAAGAATTCATAGCTCCTCAAATACCATGTGAAGTGACTTCGTCCGTTCTATACAGGAAGCATCTGAATGTATACTACATTATTTTACACATCTTATGATAGACTACTGAAAATTTTTGCCATATCCTTAGTTACACTTTCTATGGTAAACTATTAAGAAAGTGAAACTTTGTTGACATTGGTAGAGACATTGAACTCAATTATAAGACACTCAGAAGTTCATTTCTCTATAGGATGAGATGCATGGCACTAGCAAAACAAACAACTGGCTAACTCACGATGAAGTTGTCGGCGACGCTGTTACCTTTATGGTGGCAGGTTATGAAACGTCGTCCACTGCCTTAGCTTATGTCACGTATGAGCTTGCCAGACATCCAGATGTTCTCCAGAAACTTCAGGCTGAAGTTGACGAACTTCAATTGAACAATGTTGACAGCGGCAATGGCGAGGAAACGGAGAAATATCCTGACTATGACATTGTCTCACAGCTGCCTTACATGAACATGGTCATTTCCGAAGCTTTAAGAATGTATCCCATTGCGAATCTTGCCATTCAAAGACGTGCCACAAATGATACAGTCGTACAAGGAATCAAGATCGAGAAAGGTGAACACAATCCTTTAATATTGGGAACTATTAAACTTGTTTTGAGCATCAGTACATTCATGAAACGTGTACCAAAATCTGCGAAACTTTACATCTTGAATTTTAATGTCGCAGCTAATGGAGTGTATGACCTATTTCAGCGATATTATCACTGAAATATGTCATGTATTGCAGTGGCGGCTCCAAGAGAGGGGCATAGAGGACTCAACCTCCGCTAGTGAAAGTTTTCCTACGCGTATTTTATCCGTTAGAGAGGGTTCAAGGGCCCATAAATGGTTCTGAGTCCATCTAGTCCAAAATCCTGGCTCTGCAGCTGAGAAAATGAATTAGTAAGGAGCATAGTTGACAGAGTGCCTCCGTCCATAAAGTCTCGGATATCATATAGATTTTCATTTAAGTGTTCAGATGATCATGCAAATATTATCAGTTTAAGAAATTATAGACAAAAGATACCTCCAGCTGAACCACAAGGTTAATCGACCTTTGAGAAATAAATTATAGCTCGTGCTTCTTTCACACTAATTACAATATATGACGATTAATATCGTTCAGAACTGACCTGGATTAACAGTAGGCGACAATTCATATCCAATATATATATATACCCATCTTGCGCATGCCGGACCATTCTTAGCGCTCAACCCTGGTAAATTCCATCATTTGGGAGTCAGCAAGCGGGCCGGTAAAACCACCGGTTTTCTTTTGATTTTTGCCACATGGGTATATATCATTGTATTTTCTCACTTACAATTTACACAATCCCATCGTGTTTTTTTGAGATGACGGAAAGATTAAAACGGCTCAAGTACAATGACATATTGACCAAGAGCTATGAGTATTTTGTGGAGATTTTACCTCAATTTTTGCTCATAAAATACATTTAATCACCATTAGAGATAATAAATTGTTAAATAAACATGAACTCTGCGAACCGGAAGCAAGCAATGACTATTTTTCTCATAGCTTAATATTCTCCTACAAGTAGCATTTGTTTCGGCTGGAGCTTTGAGAATAATTTAGGCGCAACTAAAACTATCTACCAGTGAAATTTAGGATCGAAAACTTCATCATTTTTTGCTTTGTTTAATACTTAGAAGAGGATTCATGCAAACAATTATTACACGGTATTACCCCCCCCCCCCTCCCACCGCTCCCCGCCGCTCCAAAAATTCACTTTTGGCCAGAGGCATCGAAATTGAGATACATGCATAGGAAGATAGCCTGTGATCTGCTCTTTCAGAAAAAAAACAAAAATTTTCCCTCAGTACTTCCGTTTTTTCGAAAAATGTTCAAAATTTTCGTCATTTCGTACTCGAAAAAATAAGCTGTTTTTAGAAAAACCCGAAAATCTTTTTCGTTTTTTCTCAGTTTCCACTTTCTTAAAAGGGCATCCCAAAATTTGCCTTCCCGGTTCGTTCAATGTATTAATTTTTTTTTGTTGAGAAGAACATTGCAATATGCAGGGCATGCTGAGGCCCTTTTTTAAATTAAGTCTTTGTTTGGTCAATATACAACCAGTTATATGATTTGGTTACCATTTTTTGATTTTTAGTCATTCAGCTTGTGATCTCTTTTTTTGCTTTTAAAAAAGGACTATCTCAAAAAAGGGCCCCATCATGCCCTGCATCTTGCGATGTTCTTCCGAACAAAAGAAATTAATATATTGAACGAACCAGGATCGCCAAATTTGGGATGCCAAATGATTCACTTTTGATGCTTCTTTGGTTCATATTTTCCTGAAACCTGAAGATTTCGGGCTTAAACTTCTATGTTAGTCTCCCCTTTTCCGCCCCAACATATGCTGAAAGTTTCATGCAATTTGGATGTTCCTGGACTGAGATCGATTTTTGAGGAGGCTTAATAGATCATATACCTAAAAAAGTGAAGTCATGTGGCACTCAGACATATCTTACTATCATTCTATTACAAAATGCCGAAAATTCAAATAGAATATAGTGTCATCGACTCATCTTAATTTTTGTTGCAAAACAAAACTAGTCAGTTCTTTAATCTTTACAGGTTCTATAGTACATGCTGATGTCTATTCGGTTCATTATGATCGTGAACTTTGGGGCCCCGATGATCCATACACCTTTGTGCCCGAGCGTCACGAAATAAAACGCCATCCAATAGCTTATTTACCATTTGGAGCCGGTCCTCGGACTTGTATCGGCATGCGTTTTGCGTTGATCGAGATGAAGATTCTGTTAACGAGATTGCTTCGTGAGTATACTATTCTGCCAGGTGATCATCTTGAAAGCAAATTCAATATCCATGAACGAACGACCATTGCACCAGAAGAGGTCTGGATTAAACTGGTAAAAAGAAACACTTAAGCGAGTCCAACAGGCTATCCAGTATCATATCTGCTATTCGGACTCCAATCACTTTTTCAATTTTTCCTTTCATATATTCTTTCTATCTTTATCAACCTCGTCGAAAAGCACCATTTTTGTAACTTCTTTTAATTATAACCAGTGAAAAGTTATATAATCCAATTTATGAAATGCTTCTTTGTAACTTCTATCACAATCAAAAATGCAATGTGTACGAGAGCTCATTGCTATCATTTGTCGAACCGTACTGCAGTCATTTTTATAAGCAACAACAGTAAACAAGAGAATGTGTGCGTGTTAAGCAAATTCGGCTTGTCTTCGTCTAATAAATCAAGTGCTGATGCACACGTTTGAGTACTTATGCAACTAGGAAAAGTTTTACAACGTGAAAACTGAAAATTTTTCAGAAAATACCCAATGCTTGATTGAGATGATATATGGCGGCATGCATATAGAAATTGCTCTTCATGAGAGATTCATACCCACTCCAGATAATTGGATCTTGATTGGTGTGGGTGTGGGTGGGTGTGGGTTTGGGTGTTGGTTAAAAAGAAGGCATTCCTACCCACATCGACACCCAAACAATTTTTCATGAGAACATTAGTGAAAGATAGATTCTCTTGTTCGACGGCTTCTTTCTAGCTTGCTCGTGTTAACGATATCTGCTCAGGAATAAGTGAGAGTCAAAGTACCTGAATAGACAATGTGCAATTGTTAACAGATAGACATGTCTAAGTCATGACTACAGAATATGCTCAAAATATCAATATGACAGAACGCGTTGTACAATATTTCCTTCCTTTTTAACTGACGAGAGAAGGTCGTTCTCGACAATTCTATTTTTTGAAGCGTTTGACTAGTTTTACTGTGGAATAATGATATTGAAGGTTAGCATTATCATTCTCTACGTATTCACTGTGTCCAATAGTCAGATTTTTGTTTACGATACAGAAAACAGTGCGCCATTCGAGCAATTAGATTGTGTTTACGTGAATGATGTCGTTGATGATATGTACAGTGAGAGCACTGCTGGAAAAGTGCCATATTGTCGATGACCGAACATCATTGGAGATTTTGAACGACCCAACAAAAAATGTGAGCATGGTGCAGAAATTAAATACTTTGTCGAACTATTGAAAGAAAATGTATCATCGAACGATGTGCTACAATGGAGTTCCAGTGTTGAGATGGCTGATGAGTATGCGACTGTCTACTACAACAATCATTCATTGATTGAACAGGATGATAAACAATATTTTCTATGGCGGTGTGGGATGTGGATGTGGGTGGTGGCATTGATCTTGCATCTAATCACACCCAAACTCACACTCACACCCACATCCGCATCCACACCCAGACCCACACCAAGAAATTATTCATTAACATCACCTACTTATTCACCAAATTCTCCAAGTTATTCTCCAACATCACCAAGATATCCATCAAATGATCCAATTAATATCTATGGATCAAAATCACCTTATTACAAGTTTGTTTTTCTTCTTTAGCTTTTTAATCAATATTTATTTGTTAATAAAGTCCAAGACGTCCAATTTATTCAACAACTGGAGGAAGACAAGATTCAACATCACCATATTATTCTTCAAAAAGTCCAGCATGCTCTCCATCATCACCCGGTTATTTCCCATCAAGTTCACCTAAGAAAAGAAAATCCTTTTTGTTCTAAATTAAATATTTGATAAAAAGTTATCCACCATCATCACCCGGTTATTCAACATATGGACCATCACCTAAGTATTCTCTTCAAAATCCATCTTATTTCTCTAGAAAATCCATCATAGAATAATGTCATTTTCATATTATTTATTTTAAATGATTAAATCTTTGTTTTTATTTAGCTCGAGCACGTCCATCATACAGTATGCCACTTTCTTTTAATTTAAAATCTATCATTTTCATATTTATTTATTTAGGTCCAAGAGCTACAGTTCGTTGATAAGATTTTGTTTTTATTGTTTAAAAATGTTTTCTTTATAAAAAGGTCCAACATTTCCAACATATGCACCTCAATCACCAGCATCATTAACAATCTCATCATCAATGTCATCTCCACGTACAATTCATGATGATGATTCAAATCATGATGGAAATTTAATGGATTAATCTTTTGTAAATTGTTTCAAAGCAAGATCATCATTGACATTTTTTAATCAGAGACACACTTTCTTCTTATTTATTCATAGAAATTAAACAAAAAAACGCCTATCGCTGATGATTTTCACTTGTAAAAAGGTCTTTTCTTCCAAACTATTCAATTGGAAATAAATTTATTTCACTAAAAAACCGATTTTTCTGTGATTAATTATAATGAAATGTTAACATCTGGTTATTTATTGATGAGGTCAATGCTAAGACAAAAATGAATATTTAGACTATCATCAAGACAAAAGATCGCAACATGACCATCATCAAGAGAGAAAAGATCATCAAGGTTAAGAAGAAGAAAAAACATCATCAAGATTGTGAACAAGAAAAGATCATCATCAAGACCAAAAAACGATGAAAAATAAACTGATGAACACAATAAAGAAAAATGTCATCATAAAGCCCCAAGCGATGAATAAGACCACCAACGAATCAAGATATCATCAGCACGATGACAAACTAGGCTAAAAAAACGTGATAGTTTGTTGGTTTTTTTAATGAGTATAGAACTCACGCCTTATATTCAGATGAGTCAAGATAGCATTTTTCACTGGATCGACCTAACAGGAGAAAGACGTTACATATTTGCACTGTGGGAGTTAAAATTAGGGTAGCTATAACTCTGTTTATAACTTTTGAGTTATAACTGATCAACTTTTTGAAAAATAGTTTTAACTCCTACAGTGCATATTTGATCTGTGGGTGTGGGTGTGGATGTGGGTGTGGGTGTGGTATGGATGTGGGTGTGTGGGTGTGAGTGTGGGTGTGGTGTAGGGGTGGGGGTGTGGTGTGGGGGTGGGGGTGTGGGTCTGGGGGTGTGGGGTGTGGGTTTGGGTTTCTTCTTTACCCACACCTCTAAACCCACCCACACCCACGCCACCCATACCCTTTTATACTTTATTCTCTTACTTTTCTTCGTTGATCGGTTTCTTTTTACTATATAATAAATAAAGTATTTGTTTCTGTACCATATTAAAATAAATGCGGAAACATCGGATTTGCATCCGATTTTTATGTGTACTTCAAAAAGCGAAAATGTACATGCATTTTTTTCTATAAGACAGATCTCATCAAGATACATCTCTTCTCACCAAATTGCAAGGAGAAAACACCGGCGTGCTAAGTTAGCATGGACCACACTGTATGCAACCATATCCGATGACCGTTGACTCTACTCTCAGAGTGATATAATATCTATAGAAATCACAGAAACTGAGTTCAGATTCGTGTTCAGCTTGGAAAACTGGGTAAGAAGAGGGTGTGGGTGTGGGTGTGGGTGTGGGTGTGGGTGTGGGTGTGGGTGTGGGTGTGGGTGGGGGTGGGTGTG